TTGTGAAATTAATGTTTGTACAAACTTCGAGATCAGCATTAGAAGATAAGTTTTACACCCGTATCCGCTTGTGAAATGCTGCATTGAGAGCCGTTATTAATGTGATTGTACCTACTTAGATATCAGTTTAGTTTTTTGTTCGTTGCTTCTTATTTAAATGTATTGGTTGAAAATCTGTTCGTATTTGATGGGATAGCGAAGTTTCTGGTTTATGTAGTTGATGCAAACATGTTGACTGCTCATTTAAAGTTGATTGTAAATGTTAAATCGAATGAATAGCCTACAATACTGATCTTAGTACAATCTTTTTACGGTTAAACAATTTATGTACATTAGTACTGACTGCCTCATTGGCCGAGTGGTCGCAAGTGCGACTGCCGGGCAAGGGGTCTCGGGTTCGATTCCCGGGTCGGGCAAAGTATTACTGGGTTTTTAAAAATCTCAGTAGTAGCACGGAGTCTGGAAAAGTGTGCCCGGTATATGGCAATAGGCTCACCCCCTATTACATGGGACTCATAACATAAATAGTGAAGAGTGGGTGTTACATTGTACAGTGGCATTAAGTGCCGAAATGTGCACCTCTGCCTACCCCTTCGGGGATAAAAAGGCGTGATGTTATGTTATGTTATGTACATTAGTACTTAATATCTTGATATTAGATATTAATCATTGATTCTTACTAGAATCAATGCATGTCCATTAAATATTGTGTACCAATTCCAATGCTACGCAACTCTTGATGTTTAAATATTAAATCTGTGGATTAATAAAATGTATGAAATCAATGTCAGAATGAAGATTAATTAGATTTGATTTATGTAGGTGCTCAGAACATATCGTAGTTTCGAATGAAAATTAAAAAATATGTTTATTTTGCAACATTTTGACATTGATAACAAAATTTAACACGATTTGATGAATTATTAAGCAGTGTGATGATGCCAAAGACGTTACTACCTCTGCTTATCACACAGGTAACGTACGAGAGGACTAAAGAACCAACATTTGGATTGCAACTTCAGTAAATATAAGCTGACAGACTGCACGGTTGGTACGGTTTGCGCACGGAACATCTCTTTGTCTTCTCATCTCTCTTCTCCACAAATGGTTGTTCCGGGTCTGGGTGTCATGTGTATGTAAACTTGTATGTTTGTAAACGCACCCACGATACAGCAGAAAATCCGAGTGTGGGGCAACGTTTTTTTTTTATCAAAAAAGGTTATTAAAATAATATGACCTGCGAAATACGGCCAAGACACACATTTTGCAATAGGTGTAGAGTTTTTAAACTCTTTCTGCTGATAGTTGAAAGATATTGTGAGAGTTGAGCCGCGAACCACTACGAGCTATGTACTACGGGCTACGGACTACGCACAACGAGCTACGCGCTGAGGACTAAGCGTTACGTACTACACGCTACGTTACTACGAGCTACGGACTACATGCTACGACCTACGCACTACGAGTTACTGCTGTAGTATTTTGCCGCAATTAGGGCTAACAATTGGCTCTACATGAGACCTCGTGGTACAAGTCATTCTCAAAAAGGTAAAAACTTTTCTCTGATAATATGCAATGTTTAATTAGCAATGTCATTATTAAATATACAATACAGTAATTAGAAAAATAAAATTTTGTTTTTTTATATATTACTACATTATGTTTTACTTTACCCATATTTTCAAGTATTGAAAGTTTATATTTGTACTTTCGTATTCACCACATTTACACGTTTTTTGTTATTGTTTTTATTTGTTTATATGCAGGTACTACAATGCGCTCAAAATTTCTCAATTTTGTATCAAATATTGTTTGTCAGTAACCGAATCATTTATGTGATTCTTCAAGAGAAATGAAGATATTCTAAACCAAAACCATTTTACATTTGAGACAGAGCAAAATTACATAACATCACGCCTTTTTATTCCCAAAGGGGTAAGCAGAGGTGCAAAGTAAAATTATTAATTTTTATTTAATTTTATCTCTTTAGTCAAAGATTAGTTGTTAATTTGTATTGAAAATCTAAATAACAAAGGTATTTTCGATTTTTGAACTGTGTACTTATCAGCTTTATATCCATTTCAAGTATTTTTAGCTGTTCCAGTTAAAAAACTTTCGAATTCCTATCAATTTCTTTTTTTAAATTCTGTTTTGTATTTTATTATTGTATGCCTCAACGGCGGGACATAGCTGTACTTTTTTTATTATTTAAGACCTGTATTTATAATGCATACCTATAGTACACAATAAAGACGATTTGATTTTGATTTTTCTCTTTTTATTAACCGACTTCAAAAATAGGAGAAGGTTCTTAATTTGCTACTGAAAACCTGCCAGCTTTTTTACTATTGCCAACGGGTTTAAGTAAAAACTACTTACTTATTTACAATTTGATAAAGACAATGTTACAGGAGCATGTCTCTCGCTCGTATATTTACTTGAGCCTTGTAACAAATGTAGGCTGTCCGGTGTATTTACCCTGACATGTGAATGACTTCATACAAAATGTATGTTACAGCGACGGTCAAAGGAAACAAAGCGCAAATTAATTTAACTACTCTTTTCTACACATAGCACAACATCACGCCTTTTATCCCCGAAGGGGTAGGCAGAGGTGCACATTACAGCACTTAATGCCACTGTATAATATAACAGCCACTTTTCACTATTTATGTTATGAGTCCCATGTACTAGGGGGAGGGCCTATTGCCATATACCGGGCATAATTACAGACTCCGTGCTACTACTGAGAAGTTTTTATAAAACCAGTAATACTTTGCCCAACCCGTGAATCGAAACCAAGACCCCTTGCCCGGCAGTCGCATTTGCGACCACTCGGCCAACGAAGCAGTCTCTAAATAAACATCTCTGTAAACATAAAATCATTTTTTTAAAAACATGTCTTTTCGTGTATAAATCTATTTAAGCGCATTTTCCGTTAAGTTTATGGTTCTTTTCTATGTTCTATGAATCCCATAGTATTGTAATCGCCGTTAATGATGGCAGTGAAGAATATATTTGTCACTGACCTTACTCTCCACGCCAGGTGTTATACATTTGACAGAGATCTGTTAGTGGGTGTTGTCGCATAAAGAACTTTTTAAATTTAAATATCATATTCACCTCTCCTGCACAGCGAGAAGGCAAGTCTACACAGACATGCCTACGGAGAATGCCCATAGTCGATTCGATATAACAGTGGAATATCACGTTTATGACTATGGTGTAATGCAATAAATTGTAACCAAATAACTCTTCTTCTCTAGTAACAGTGAACAGTAAACCTCAGATAAAGTGCTCTATCTATTTTTTTACTCTCAATAATAATTGACGAATATGCACAAGTGTTTGCGAAAATCGTGGTTTATTCCATTCAGCATTTTTTCCTACTGCTTTTTCTGACCCTTTAAATTATTTTCACGAAGTAATTCTTTTGTCAGTGTTTCACCCTTTTCAACCGGGATTTTTGTCAGATTGCTCATATTAAGTAGACATAAACACAGATTTACCTATGACACAAATAGTTTCTTAGCTTCGAAGCTTCTTCAGCTCCCGCCTCCGTTTGCATAGTCAAATCAAAAGAGTGGCCTATCACTCTGTCCCTGTCAAACACCATAGCCATCAGACGACCACGGATGGGGCCCAATAGGGCCGATGCTGACACGGAGCCGCAGAGAACGTAAAAGGTTACCGGGGTTCCGGCTCGAAGTGAAAAAGTAGGAACGGGGTGGTTTTTAGTCAGTAAGAGTCTGACACTCCCTTCTTCCGCCTCACCCAGGCGGGAGAAGCCATTAGATGATTTTCCCTTCAAAAGAAAAAAACAGGCACAATAGTCGCGCCTTAAAATTTTCTATTGCGACGCAAAAGAAAAACAAACGAACCGATATACTTGCACACCTATCAACCAGAATGATCTTAGTAAATTCAGAATTACAGTAAATCAAAACAGGTGAATTATTGTCGTTATCTAATTGTTTGTTCTAAAATTAAGTAAGTACCTGTGTGTTAAGTAGTCTACAGTCTACATAATACGTCTCATTTGTAAATAGATTGAAATACCTCGACAAAAAAATCTAAAACAAGACGGTGCAAGTCAAAGTATAGCTGTTGATAGTACCGACTATTGACTATTGATCAAAAATCTTTGTGCATTTCAGCATTATGTAGGCAAAGAGTTAACCCGTCGGCCGCGCGCGGTCGGTCGTTGCGGCGGGCGGCGACTTTACGGGCGGTGCTTATAATGCAACGCCTATCCGCAATATGCAAGCCATTATCATATTCCTTTGCAATATGCAACACCTTTATTTACGAATTATTTTTCTAATGAATTTAACGTTGTTGAAAGCAAGTGTCAGTTGGTCATCGTTAAAAGTTATCCAAATAATTTCTTGTGTAATTTTTTTTTAATGGAACTTATTAAGCACTAAATGTATTTTTTTAATTAAAATTTGATTTAAATAAAGAGAATCAATTTATTGTTATTAAATTACATATCTCTAGACAATATAAAATAATAAATGTTCTTCCGGACAACTGCAATTACTTACGAGCGTTACAGAAATCCAGTAATTTCAGATATAAGTCCCGGTTCTAAGACTAGATAACCTACTGTTTCTGTTTGTAAGCTAAAGTATTACTAAAATGTTCAGCCTTAAAACGTTCTTTTACAAACCAATTTAAAGAGTACCTGCTAAACTCTCTTCTTCTGTAGCTTTTATGGTTTGATAGAAAGTTCAGTATGGCTTTAAACAAACATGAGTACAAATTCATACAAAAAAAAAGAAAAATGTCAACTTCTTCATGTAAATAATTTTTATCGTTTCACGACCAAACGCTATGTACTTACTGCAAAATGTAAGTTCATCTAAAGAGATAAATAAACAAGTGTTTAAACGCTTAGGACAAACAATTTGTGATAGCTACAACACATTGAATTATCTGTAAGACTGTGAAAAGTTTTGAACACTTTTAAAATAAGATATTAAGTAAAGATCACATACCGGCGCTTTCAATAGCTCCTGGCGACACTGGTACAGTCTCACACTCCCTCTCCTCTCTTCTCTGTTCAAACTCACTCTGCACTCTAGTAACTTGCCTCTGGCCATTCAGTCCTAAGATAGCGTCTATTGTATGCCTCGGGCCTGGATTAACACTCGTAGGCACTTGTGTCAAGCCTAACCTAGATTTCACCGCATCAAAACTTTGGTTAAGATGCATTTGTTGTGCGTGAAAAAACATTCCCATTCTGTTTAGTGTCTCTAAGTTCTGTTGGTGCTGGGAAAGCGATATGGATTGATCCGTCACATTGATAGAAGAGTTAGAGTTGGGACTACTCATTTGCGAGCGCGGACTGTTCGTGTCGGAGCGGTCCGGCGTCTGGTTGCCGTAATATCGGTCGTCGGGCGCGTCCATCTCGCAGCGATACGCGTACGTCACTGGCGCTCCGCAACTACTACTAGAGTCGGCGGGGAAGAAAGGGGCGGGGCCTATCGGAAGGGGGGCGAGCGAAATTGCCCATTGAAAGTGCGAAATTTGGGGTCGCGAAGTGATTTTGTTTGGTAAGTAGCAAGAAGCGGCGTATTAGCATTTTCCCCTCGGAGTTTCTTTGAACGGTATTGAGAGTTGGTGATGGTTGAATAGTTTTTTTTCTGTTTGATTGGGTCGATTGTGCTGGGTGTTAGAGTGTTGCCGGGAGTTTGTTAGCGATTTCTTTGAGGGTTCTCGATGCGTTCGTGGGTACTTACTCGCTTGTTGCTTCTTTGCATGTTTCTATACAATTTGATAGGTTGATGACATTAGAATAACTGAGAATAATATTTGAGTAGGCATACAAAGTTTTTACCATTTTTTATTTAACATGCAAATGTCGACTACGTGATTTCATTCGTGTTATAAATGTAAGCTTACTTCGTTAAAAGAGTGCATTACATGCAAACATTAATTTTCAGCTATAAATAAACTTTCACTAATCAAATGAAGCTAAATAAATGTTTGTTAATTGATTCAATGGTCAGTTTTTGTGTACTTAAATTATGCACGATCAAACTAAACCGCAAAAAACAATCTAAACGCATGCACGTACAGCGACCAGTCCAAACTTCCAATTACCTAAATGCTAATGAACTCAATTCTAATTAATCACACTAATCAATACGGGGCCAATCAGACGCTACCTGTCTCAGCGGAGCGCGGGGCGAGGGAGCGAGAGCACCGCCGGACATCTGCCTGTTAACACACAAATTTAACCAAATCGGTTAACCCGTAACCAAACAATAACAGCTTTTCCAACTGACCAGACCAGTAAATGTACTAAGACTTATAACCACAATTACTTTCTGGTAAACTGAACTCTATTATAAGGTTCTAAGCATGAAAATAGATTGCGGTATATTAGTGACTTGAGTCGTTAATACATGAATAATGGAACCGTCAATATAATTTTGTCTTCTTCACACTTACAAAGATCTCGCTCCCTCTCATCTCAGGTGTAGCGACGGTTGTTAGGGGGCGGGGCGCGCTGTGACGTCACACGTCGATCGACCAATCGTGTGTTGAATTTTGTTTTTTTCTTAGCGCGTCTTGTATTGTCGATGGGTTTCTTTTGTCCGGTGCGCTCAGTGATTGTTCGCGGCCGGCAGTTACACGGTTAACTTTAGGAATAACAAGGTCCTGCGCGGCGCCTACTGCAGATTACTACATTATGTTGCATTTTATGTTAGACCGTGTAATTATTGTCAGTAGATACAATTTAATAATATTATATTCTTAAGATGAAATATGCATAAGTAAAATTAAATATAACATTAACCTCTTATCTGGCGCATATGAGACAGAATAGAAAACACACTGTGTCTTGCGTATACGCTCCCGGCATACCACTGGTTAATACAGGATTCGTTAATGGATACTTAATAAATTGAATTTAAATATACGAATGTTACCAGTTTTTTTATTACCAATTTATAAACATAGATAGAGAAATAAAAATCCATGATAAGTTATGAATTTCCAGGTATTTTAATACCTATGTAAAAAAAGTTTTAACAGATGTTAAAATGTAAGTACATATATTTTTATTTGGTTGCCACAACCAAAGATGAGTAGATTGAGTTAGACAGTTGTAAATCAGAATCTACAGTACAGATCAAACATATACCTAAGCGACAAAATAATAAAGTCCGATGCCACCAAATAATATGAACAACTTCTTCTACGTTCTTCTTCTACGTCTTAGAAACAAAAATAAAATGATCCAGAAGAAAAAAAACACTAATTCAATATCATCAGCCCATTTTTGTCCACTGCTAGACAAAACATTCTTCAAATAGTATGACATTCAACTGCATATTAGTTTTACCGTCTTACGCTTTTATAATGTATCTGTATGTACAAACAAACTATAATAGCTTATCAGTTTTCATTCTGAAATCAGAAATCGTTAGCAAATTTAATTATATGTCGACTGGAAGCTACTCTATACAAAATGTATTAAAAGAACACTGATTATGCTTAATGTCTTAACTTAAAATACATCGTGATTTAAAACTATTTAATATTTTTTAAGCCTTAAACCAAAGGAAATTAAAAGCATTATATGTCTGCATAACCGTACATTACGTAGCACGGTACACCGATACATTATACTGATTGAAGCTGAATATTTAACGCGGTCGCCACTACAACGTACCTCTTCATATAATTGAGTGCACGCGAATGCTACAATTGAATGACTTTTAATTGCACATTCCATGTTTTTATGCCCATAATGTTGCCACACTGCAACTCATCATTATGTCGTAGACTTTCAATTTTTACGCTGACAACCCTAGGTAATGGATTGTTCCAATCAAGTTCCTAGTATCAATCAATTTGTTTAATGATTGGATTTAGATCTAGATAGTGCATACAGTAGTGTTGTATGTAGGGCTTTGCATGTTTCGTTGAACTAACTAATGGCGCCCTAATTAGGTGAATTGGTTGTATTATTGATTGCTTATTACATATTAAACAAAGTAAGTACATAGTGTACAAAACAATGTCTTTTATTTCGGGGATAGAATAACATAATTTGCAACATAACTGACTGAATAAGAGAGTAGAAGAAGATGAGCCTACTTAATTCTAAAATAATTAAAATTACTAAATACATGACAGTTCGACGAGGAACCTCGACTAGTTTCCAACCCCACATGGAGCCCATGCGTTATGATGGATAACCATTTGCACAAAAAACTGTTATTAAATACATTAACTTTATCATATAGATAGATCTGAAGGATGATCCTAGAAACTAAGCAGCTTCGACAATTCGATTCTATGAGCCGAGTTTGCAATAGTTAGAGAAAAATCCAGAAATCAAATTATTCAATAAGTTTATCTAAAGTTATTAAGGTTAATAAACAAAAATATTGAACGTTTTCTCTTCTTCCTTTTAAAGAGACCACCTTTATTCAGTAGTGAAATAAAAATGTAAGTGTGGGAGAGCCATGCTTCCACAGGAATCGGTCGGCTCGACCGGAGTGATACCACGGCCGAGCACAAAACCAACGTGAAACAACGCAACGCGTGTTTCATCGTGTGAGTGTTCCCTGACTCTAATACCTAATCCCCAAAAGGCCAGTAATGGAACAAACAAAAAATGTTACAAGGTGTGTAATTAAAACGACTGTTCGTTGACAAATGTAATGTTACTTAGAGTAGAACCCGATACGACATAACTACCCTTAAAAATACCAGAAAAACATTTCGTTTAAACCGAAAACCAATTAAAACTCTCCGAGGTAACAGACATAAAATTACTCATTCAAACCTGTATAACAAGACTAAATATAATAACGATCGCTAATGGTGGATTGATGGTTAAATTAAGCGAGTTTGCGCTAGATTGATTGGGATAAGTGTGGGGGCGAGTTAGGGGTGTAGAGGGGGTGAGGGGGGCGCAGTAGACCCGGGACACGCTAATCTACTACGACCATATAACAATTTGTTGACAGTGATGGGTTATGTCGATGTGAGTAATTAGATCATAGGGTTCGGGGAGCTCCGGGACATTTAACGAGCGTTTAGATGTTCATTATTTTCTATTTTATGCTGTTTGTTCTTTCTCCTAGAGTTAAGATGCGCTATTAGAAAAACGATGAATCTTGATCAATTTTGGCAGTTTTACTTACAATACTTAGAACAAAATTATATTCTGGACCTCAAAGTAACAATCTATAGAAATGAACCAACAGATGTCGTGCCTGACAGAATTATAAATTCACATTAATATTGATCTTGTAAAATTTCTAATATACATACCTACTGAAACAAATCTTTTATTTATTGTGTGTAGTATCACTTAAGGGCGAAAGACTGATTTTATTGACACCTATGACTTTCATAAGCCTTTTTTGGTTAAATTAAAGATGAATACTTCAACTAGACTTCAAATTGATCGTATTACATTCCTTCACCTCTATATCGATATTGGCCCAACTCTACGCTACCTGGCGGCTGACAGCGACCTCTGTAATTGTTGAATGATCCAGCATTAAAGCGCCAATTAACCAACATTGATTGGTTTTGAACAACCCCCCTCTCCCCGCCCCTCCTTCAACCCGTCAGCTCCCCTCGTGACCCTCGCTGCGGTCCCAGATAATTCTGGATTAAAGGGCTAGCGTGGATCATTGCAGTAGCCATATTAACTCGAGAATTTAAGTCAAGCGTGTGAACGTCTTAGCTAGCTCAGTAAAATTACTAGACAAATGTATGGAATACATACATACAGATAAATACTGATAAAATGCTTTTTTTGTGCTTGAAACTTTTCCACGTGTGTCGTATGTCTTTCAATATCGAGTTTTCTATTATTCTTGGCTGACCAGCGATTCAACACTTAGCGCCGGTTTCACCACCTCTATATAAGTACCTGATAAACTTATGTGATACATAGTTCATACAAATTACGTTCTTAATTCAAATTTATCTGGTAGATAACTGCTATCCAGATATTGTGAAACAGGCCCTAAGCCTACCAAAACACTTAAAACTACATAGATACAGGTACAAAAACACTTGTTAAGTACTTAGAAACTTATAGTATACTAGCGGATCCGACAGACGATGTCCTGCATATCCACTTGAATGTATAAACAAAAATTCAATCAAATTAGTTCAGCCGTTTAGGATAACTAACCTATACATCGGCTGCAGCGCCATCGTGTCGCAGGTTCGATTCCCGCACGGAACAACACTTTGTGTGATCCACAAATTGTTGTTTCGGGTCTGGGTGTCATTGTGTATGTGAACTTGTATGTTTGTAAACGCACCCACGACACAGCGTGACACACTAGTGTGAGGCAACTTTTTTTTAAAAAAATCTGCCGGGCTGATTTGTGAATCTAAACCATTCCCAGATCCCCTTGAACACACACAAAACAAATTATCAAAATCGGTCCAGTCGTT